CACCCCTACTCTTTTCGAAAAACATTCTGGGATTTTTAATGAACACAGAGAGTAAGGATCTCAGTTTTACGTCTCATCAGTATAGTCCCCGTCACTATACTGGGGCATTAGGACCCACACAGACCGCAAGGTGAGCGCCCCCTGCTGGCCCCACTAACACCACTTCCGTCAGCAGCCTTAGTTTTTCTCAGGTGGTCTCCCCTCCAGCTTTAGTGGGCTGCCGGTGGTGAGTTGCGGGATGACATGACTGCTGGCTATATGTGGATGTGTTCACACTTCCCCCCCGTTACCTGCCCCCAGGCTCCAGGCTGTATGTCTGAGACCCGATATCTCGCAAACACTCAGTGGGCTGGACTGACTGGAAGGTACGCGGTGTCCTCTTTGGTTCCTGTTGAAACCCCTGTGACCTGCCCCCGCTGTGCGCCTCGCCCCGGTGGGTGGGTGGGTGGGCGGGCTGGCGGGCAGGGGGGTGACAAGCCTGCTCTCTTGCAGCGGCGTGTCCCACTCGGTGCTGGCGGACATGCACACCATCCGGCAGGAGGCTCCGGGCGGGCCCCGGCCCGCGCGCAGGGCGTACGTGGAGGACGAGGACGAGGAGGAGGGCTCCCTGTTCTCCTCGAGGACCAGGTAGGGAGCAGGGGCTCGTCGCTGCGGGGCCCGGGGTTCGCCTCTCGACTGCTTGAGAAGCACCGGCTTCTAAACGCCTTTACCGTCGGTTTGAGTTGGTTTTCCACTCGGCTGCACGAGTCTGTCTGTGAACTTGCGAGCTGGTACAAGGAATGCTGTGATGGTCATACACAGAAATAGTTTGAAATTTATGTGTCGGATTGCCAGGGTTCAAGGTGATTTAAGTCAGTCTTAGAAAGAAGGCGGTACCCAGTTGTACTGAGACTCGACTGTGTAGGTGTTTGGGTCTGCGCCAGTGCCTGCACTACAGAAGGAGCTGGGCTGGTGCAGAGCTCCTGGCCACAGCTGTACGGAGGGTCCCTTTCATCTGGAAGGACATTAAAAAGGAGAACAGAAGGCACTTCCTTGCACTAAAGAATAGATGTCTAGATGTGCCAATTGGCCTCCTCTTGTCTTGTCTGTCACTGTTCTTGTGGAAGTTGGCCCTTAAAATCCTTTGACCTGGTCTGTGGTATTGAGCCACGCTGCAGTCTCCTTCCGCAATTCTTAAAGTGCTATTAGTAAAACGGTCGGTGCCCGCCTGCAGTTTTTGATAGGTACGTTTCTCATGCAACGGTGTCGGCAGAAAAATATTCTTTGTCCTGACCTCTGTGCACCGGTGTCTTCAGAGTGCCCTCGAGATACACGGACGAGCCCGCAGAGACGTCCAGCAGGTTCTTCTCTCAGTGGGAGGACAGCAGTGACTCGCTGTGGAAGAAGGAGAGCAGAAAGCTGGAGCAAGACATCCTCCTGACGTCAAAGAAGCCGGCGTCCAATGACAGGTACAGGCGTATTTCCCCGTTTCAAGCATCGCATCACTGAACAAGGCTAAATGTCCCTTAGCCAGTGGATACCACAGTTAGGAAATCAGTATTTCCAATAATGTAAGACTGAAAGTCCCTCTCTGATGAGTACTGTATTCTGCCAGTGCTCGGATTGCCTGGATAGGTCCTTGTTTCTTAGTCTGTAGAAGGAGGTGTCTTGCTCTTTCATGGTCTTGACATCTCTCTAGTCTGAGATGTCTGTCCCCTCTCATATGAGATGATTGCAGTGTCTGAAACACTTCCATCTCATCCCTGTTTCCATGTCCGGTTTTTCCTGACTTGGGGGCGTATTGTGTCCTGTACTCCCATCCTTGGAGGTGGCTGGGTGCCCTCGGAGCGAGCCGCTCGTTCAGTGTTGATGTTCCCAGAGGCTGACTGAACGAAGTTAACAGTTGATACCCTATTGGGCCCTGTCCACTGCCTGGACAGGACAGCTGTGTAAAACCTGAAGGTCATGCTCACTGTAACCCTCCTTTGGTAATGGGGGGGCTCTCCTTGGCTGCCCCCCGCGTGCGATGGTACTCGTATGCACGCATGTTGTTGTTCTGTTAATCTGTAAAGGTGTCTGCTTCCTGTAGGCCCACTAATCGAAGGAAACCCGAGTACGAGCACGGCGCCCACACGGACGAGGCTCAGAAGAAGTTTGGCGATGCCAAAGCCATTTCCTCTGACATGTACTTCGGGAAGCAAGACAACAGTGAGGCAGGTGTCCCGCGTTTCCTTTTATCCCCGGAGATCGGAGCGCTTCTCCTTCCAGTGGCGCTCCTGCTCCGTCGCGTGATTCTTGAGAGAGCGATGTCCCTGTTGTTTGGCCTCTTACCGTTCTGGAGGACCTGCTGCACGACTGCTGGTGGTTATTTCAGGAGCAAACTGCACTGTGGCCTCGCTGTCACCCACACTTCCCCCAGCTGGTCAGAGCACAGCTCGCAATGTTCAAATACACCAATGAGAAAAGGTTTGTGAACCTCCGGTGTACTAACAGGAATTCGTTTCTCAGCCTGAACATCGCTGTTTCAGTTAAACAAGGGTTTCTTATACACCTTAAACGCTGCTGCCTGTCTCATAAGCGCCACGTCCATGTTTTTGTGATGCAAGAAGTAGAAAAAAGGAATGATTAAAATTCTATGTGAAATAATAAGTTAGCCCCTAATTTGCTTGATACAATTAAGGGGGTCATTAGAAATGGGTGGGTAGATAAGTGGGTAACAAATAGACCAGGACTGCATTTGGGCATCCCTGACCGAGATAATGATCCGAAACATTGTGTCTTGAACTTGTACAGGGGAGTGGAAACATGCCTTGATTGAAAGCAATTTCAGAGGACCTCCAAAAGAGTAGTCGCTGCTTGTCATTTGATGGTTACAAAACCATTTCTAGACATTAACAGCTCCTTGCATCCACTGTCAATCAATGGACAATATTCAAGGCCAGAGTGACTCTCCCCAGGACTGGCCTTCCTGCCTGTACCATCCTGGAAAATCATCCAGAAAGTCATCGAGAACCCCAGAGCAACATCTAAGGATCTGCAGGCCTCTGTCACTGCT